CTAGCATACAGTTGCAAGATAAGATAAATTGTTTCTGGTGATTTAGAACAGATCTATCTAACTTGGAAGAATGCTGCCTTCAGGGCAGTTTTGCTCTTGGAGAAGCACAAAGGGATTAAAAAGTGACATTTTAATTATTCACATCGACAAGACCTGGGGGAGGGGGGAAAAGCAAAATGGGTAGGAGGGGGAGAGAACCAGAGAGATTTCTGCAGATGTTCTCTGGAGTGAGTGGCTTGGGACCCTCCCTTGTTGAAATATGCGAACTCTTAGGTTAATTAATGGAGTTGATTGAAACTCTTCTGATTTAATTTGAAGCAATGAAGGTATTTCAGCCCTAGTTGGATTTTTTTCTCTCTCATCCCGATTAACAAAGAAAACCACCCCCTTCTCTTAATTCTCTCCAGAGGGCCCCATTCTCAAGACTCTTCGCTTCTCAGAAGCTTTGCAGGATTAGTCCGGTCGGGTGCTTAGATGGGAGAAAGCGAGAAATATGAGTGCTGCAGGGTTATGGATGCTAGTGGGTGAAGGGTACAAAAAGCTATCCAAGCTGGGATTGGCATCAATGGGTGTGGAAAAAAAAATCTATGGTTTTCTGAACATCAATGCATGGAGGTGGACATCCATCCTTTGGTCTTGGTGTGGGCTTAAGATTAGTCTTGCCCCAAAGTAGGATAGACAGTTTGAATGGTGGCCTATCTGGTCCAACTCCATTTCTTCAATCTTTGCTTATTGACAATCTAGTTGAGACCTAGATGCTGCCAACCTTTCCACCCTCAACTAACCCTACACCAACCAGGTCACTTCCTACTGCACAATGGGCAACCTACCCAACAGGTTTTGTCTTTCTTCCTTCTTCTTGGCTTTCTGTTTGGCTTCCAGTTGGACGAGGGACACTGAAGGCACAATGATGGGACTTGGGATGGCGCTGGCTGCAAACCTGGCCAGGAGCCCCAAGCCACTTTCATCCAAAGCTGATGGGGAAAGCCTCTCATTGACCACTGCCCCATAGCCTTCCATTTCTTCTTCTTCGTCATCTTCCTCCTCTTCCTCTTCTTCCGAGCTAGAATCTGAAGGTGACAAGATGGGAAACTCTCATAAATCTGCAACCAGGTTTCAAACCAGACCATCTTTTACCCCGATGGATCTCAAGACCATTTCACGCACCCCTTTTCTGACTACAAAAGGCCCTACAATTTTTGCACTCCAGACTCCCAAGTTTCTCAGCAAAAGGTCTTGCAAAAGACGATGGGAACGAAGAGGACTTCCTTCCAATTTTCCTTCCTTCCCAGGGATCCATTGCAACAAAAGCTGTTTACCTATCACTGGACCTCAAAATCCATGGATGATACAGAGATAAGATCTTTCCATCTAAGCTGGAGGCAATCTCAGTTCCCAAGAACACAGCTCTACAAAGACTTGTTAGGCACAGATCTGTAATCTTCCAAGATTTCATGCAAATGCAGAAAAGCAATTATATTGAGAAGTTCTCCTCTGCTTTGCTTTTTAGAAGACCAGAACATCAGGGCCAGCTTCTTAACAGTTGCAAAAAGAGGGGAGAAGTTCTTTGGACCTGAGGAAACCTTAGACAAAGAGGTCTCCCAGAAAATGCCCCTGAAATAAAAACTTTGTATCTACCCACCAAGTTATTGCTACTGACTACAAGGAGTAGGGAGGAACAAAACGAGGAACAAAATGCCAAATGATACAATTGATACCAAACTCAGCTTTCAAAATACAGATAAAATTTTTGTTTCCCAACAGAGAAGAATGGCTTTCCTTGAATAGCACAGAATTCTTTTCTCTCTTTTTTTTTTTTAGCCAGAGATAATCTAGGATCATCTTCTCCACATTGGGACCTCTTTGGTGTTCTGGATTTCAAGTCCCATAATCCCCAAGTCAGTAGTGAACTCTTGGAAACTTTTTCCTCCTCTCTTTGGACAGGCCAACCACAACAACAACACACACACATACACAAAATGGCCAGGTTAATTCTGTGGTTAATTCTGAACCAAACTAATCAAGGAAGGATGACATTTATGAATGGCGGCTTAAAAAAAATAACCAGAATCCAACAGGAAAGTGAAATTACACAGCATAGGGATTGAAATAAACTCATACCTAATTGGGACTACGGTGAACAACTGTGGGGGTCCTTGGTGCTCTCTAAGCTTGGTTGTTTCCTTGCAGACGTTTCATTACCCAACTAGGTAACATCACCAATGCTGTAAGGGAGCGGGGTTTGCTTACCCTAGCAAGGAAGTCCTGGATGGTTACTTGATTAGGCTCTGGTTTACTATACAGGTGCCCAGTTGAGTAATGAAATGTCTGCAAGAAAACCACCAAACTCAAAGAGCATTAAGGACCTCACAGTTCAACTCTCTGCTATAAATACTCCCTTATTGTGGTAACAGAAATGAGTTACTCTGAGCTAGCAAAATACACCACAGTACATCAGTTTTAGGCAACACAGTGAAACTGACCTGCCAGATCTCTTATGGGGTTTCCCAACCCTTTGTATCTGTAGCATGATATTTATTGCATTTTTTAAAGACACAGCTAACATTTCCATAAATGTATTTGGGTCAGTTTACAGCTCTATGCATTGAATGAAAGGAATGCACTTGGCTGCACATTTTAACATCTTCCTTCTCTCTCTAGCACATCTTTTGCTAAGCTACACAAATGCATTTTTTTTTTAAATTAAAAAACGGGCATTTAAAAAAAACCCAGACATTCATAAATCACATGCAACAATTCTCTCTTGGCAGTTTAAGATTTGTGCAGCAATCGTATTTTTTTATTTTTTTTCCGTTGGAGAGGAACCTATCCAGGGGAAAAAAAAAACAAAATTAGCTATGCCTTTTTCCTGATTGAGTTGCATCATTCATACAAGCCACTTTTGGTTTCATTTCTGAGCCAGAAATGAATGATTTCTCACCCTTGAACCAGGAGGACTAGTAACCTATTGGTTTAAAGGATTGAAAACTCGGAACATGGATCAAGATTCCAGCAAGGTAGTTTGGCATGCAATCTGTTACAGGTAGCCATGGATGGAATAAATTGCCCCGGTTGGTACAGAAGGTCAGATTTTCTTGTGGTACTTTCAATTCAGGCTTCAAAACTCAGCAGTAAAAAAAAAAAAATGAGGAAAATAATACTTTGGTTAAACAGCAGACAGACATTTGTTAAATTACTACATAAGGCAACAAGATGACTGGGAAAAGCATGGCTCAGCAATGACAGGAGAATAGCAGGTAGCAAAAAAAAGCACATTGAAGATTAATTCGGCATCGTTAAATATATACGCATATATATATATATTTAACACTTATACATGAGACCAAACACAGCACAGTTATCATAAATGTTGCAAACAAACCCAGAAAGCTAAGAGGCAGGCAGATTTTGAGACAGCTGTTGACCTCCACATCTGGTTCGCCTCGGCCAGTCCAAATTCCCACTGTTACCTTTAACTGCCAAATTGGAGAGGCATTTTGCAAAAAGCAAAGACAATTGCGTGGTTGTTTTTTTTCCCTCGGGTGCATTTTCACAGCACTGACGCCAGAAGAGGGTTTACTCGATCCCTGCTACTTATCCCTCAGGGTTACGCCTTTTGAAATGATTGTTAAATATTCTGGAGGATGGGTCTCTTCTTAGATCCATTCTAGAGAACTTTGCAATGGGGGGTGGGGACAAGTTTGGCTCCTCCTTTTACTGACCTCGGAAGGATGGAAGGCTGAATCAACCTTGAGCCAGTCAGGATCGAACTCTTGGCAGTGGGCAGAGATAGCCTGCAATACTGCCTTCTAACCACTGCACCACCACAGCTCTTAATACTAACGTCCAAAATAATGTGCATTTTAGCTTGTGATGTAAACATCTGCCGTGTAGGTAGCAGGAGAAAGCAAACACCCTTCTGCAGTCGAGAGCCAACGGCCATTCCTGTTCAGGAGTTCCAAAAGTAGAAATGGGAGGAACAAGGAACCTACCCAGCCCGAACGTCTCCCGTCTCAGAATCCCCCAAAAGTAGATTGGGAAGATGAAGAAGAAAGTGCCCTGAATGGACAAACCCAGTTTGTTGATGAACACTCCCATAGCACCTGGCCATCTCTTGGTCCCCATCATCGTTTTGAAACTCCCGGAAAGGTTGTCGAAATGTCTTCTCCAATATCCCAACCCTCCTGTTTGGTCCTTCAAACCCAGGTGGAACTCCAGCATTTGGGAGTGGAGGAGACCTCCCCACCAACCCCAGTTCCATCATTGCAAAACTGCCAAGCTTTTACAGAGGAGAGAAAGAGAAAAAAAGCTAATTTGGCCTACCTACATGATAAACTCAAAAGAGATTTTTTTTTCCCCGCTGAACTGTGGAGGCGAGAGAGCAAATGTAAGAGAGCGACAAAGACACCAAAAAGCACCATGAGAAGGGACCAGGGGTGGAAGGTTGGGTCAAGCGGCTGCGAGGAGAGCGAAAGCAAGCTTGAAAAGCTGAGGTTATTAATGGTTTTAGTAAAATCAGGGAAAGCCATTAGCAAAGCTATTACACAAATATCCCTTAAAACGAACCTCCAAAGAAAACATATATGTATGTATATATGTATATATATATGTTTATATATTTCAGCACAGACTTTTGGTTTTTTTGGCAAAAGAGATTCAATTTCTCCCACCCTCCTTCCCTCCTATTCCACCCCCTCCCCACAAACCAAGGCTCCCTTTTTTTGGCACACAGGAACATTTTATCGATTTGGCTCCCGCAAAGTAAAATGGGTTGATGCTTCAAAGGAAACTAAATTTGAAGATGTTCAAAAAAGGAATGTGCTATCCAAATGGGGTCAAAAAGGCAAAAATAGCAACCTAGGTGTGTGTGTGTGTGTGTTTGGGTGTGTGTGTGTGTGTGTGTGTTTGGGTGTGTTTGGGTGTGTATGTCTATACACATGCACTCAATTTTGGGGCTCCAAGAGTCAAAATAATAGCATCATAGAAGACAGATGTCCCAGTTACTTAGGAAGCAATCCCATAGAATCCAATGGGGCTAAGTCTACATCATATTCCATCCTTTAAAGGGAATTAGTCAGGAGTTGGGTGGCCAATAAATTCAAATCAGTCAATCAATCAATCAATCAATAACCTAGGAAGGCTTTCATTGAGATCTAACATTTTCTCTCTCTCCATTTTAAAGAAAAAGGCTTCTGGGGTTTATTTAGTTTTATTTCTTTCTTTCTTCCATCAGAGTTCTCCCGGGTTATTTATCCATTTAGACAAAGAGCAGTTGATGGAATAGTTAACAAAAGTCCAGGAGATCCTATGATGGTTGGTCTACTCAAAGAGAAGAGACTTTTAGCTTCCAAGCCTTAACAGATCTACCCTCCACCCACCCTCGTGAGTAAAAGTAAACGTAAGAATGATGATAATGCCCCCCCAAAAAACCCCATTCTTGAAGAATGCAAAGAGTAATTCGGAGCTGCCAAGAAAATAGCAAGGCTAGGTCTATCAAATCAGGAGCTTTTGAGATCCAGGATGGAAATAATTCAATATTTTTTTTGGAGGGGGGGGAATTATTATTAATTACTACTGCATGCCTTCATCTACCATAACCAACTGAAGGGCACACATTTAGGGAAAAGAGAAAAGAGCACAAAGAGGCTACAAGGAAGGTCAAGCTTTGACCACAACAAGGATAGGATACTTAGCTGGTAGGAACCCATCTCTTCGTTTAGCGGCTAGCCTACAGATAGGAGAACAAAGCTTAGCCTGCCTTAAGCCTAAAGGGCACCTTATTTCATCTTTTCTATCAGAATCAAAGGGGTGAAAAGGAAGTTGGGGAGGAGGATGGAGAGACGTGGTCCATTGGGACCTTTTTAGAAACGTGGCCTTCTTTCTTGAGTTTCCCAAACCTGAAGAGCAGACCTAGCAAAAGAAAAGAAAAGAATTGCATTCTTCATCATCAACTTTGGGGGACCCCATAATCCCTTGTGGGATAAAAGTCTGGGCAACGGAACGGAACGGAGTGTTTAGTGGCCGGATGCCTTTCCTGCCACCAATGTGGAGTTATATATTCAGCAGATAAATTCTCTCTGTAACATTAGATCCCGTCATAGTCACTGCTATTGCTCTTCGTAAGCTGGTTGTCTGAAATCATCATTCATTTCTTTGCGAAAGGAGAGATGAAAAAGGCTGGGCTTTTTCTTAGACCTCATTTGGAAATGACCAAGATATGGGCGTTTCATGGATGGAATTGAAAGCCAGTAAGGTTTCGAAGCGTGATGAGTTTGAGTGTGTGTGTGTGTGTGTGTGTATGTGTGTCTTTGGCAAAATTAAAAGCCATTTGTAAAAAAAATATATAATATATATATATATGAGAATGCAACAGTATGTATACAAGGGACCAACCCAGTCTACAATAATTTACACACAACCTACAAAGCTGCGCTCAGTTTAAAGGAAAGGCAAGATCAGATCAGATTCGTTTGTCTGTTTCTTCCTGCAAAAGTAGAGAATTGAAGCCAGGGATATTTGGATAATAGGAAACGCATCACAATTTTGTTAATTGCTTTTTTTGGGGGGTGCTGGTGGTGGTGGTTGTTTTGTTTTCCCCTAAATCTTTTGGGAATGAGGTGAGACAGCGAGATGGAGTGAAGCATCAAGCTACCTAAAGAGACACAGCAAGAGAGACAAGGCAGACGGGTTTAGTTAAAAACAAACTGGATATTTTTAATAAAAAGCTTGGTACCAAAATCGTAGTACAAACATCTCAGGGGGTTCAGGGTTGGGGGAAGGGGAGGGGCACACCCACACAACACATATTCTAATTTACACAGTTTCTCTCCCTCTAACACATGCCAAAAGTAAATTTGGAAAGGAGTGGGGGAATAAGCCACGTATAACAACAGTGATGGCAACAGAAATGACGTCTTGCCTTTTCTAAAAAAGAAAGAAAGAAAGAAAGAAAGAAAGAAAGAAAGAAAGAAAGAAA